GAACCAACATTATAGCCCCGAACCAAACGAAAATTCTGAAACGCACGGCAGTGGCGTTCCGCTGCCGACGCAAGCGGGTGTGTCTGGGCGAGACTCGCCGGGACGGTGTCACGGATGTCGGGGTCGGGCGGGCCCCGACGTGAAACAGTGGCCCACGATGACCAGGCTTGGGAGCAGCGGCCACTTTCCTCCGAACCCTGTTCATTAAAAATCATTTAGTTTGCCCATAACGCGGTCGAGATTATGATTTCCTCTGTGTTGCTCGAGTCGTTGCTTGAATCACAACCGGAAGATGTGGAAAATTCTTCGCAGCTTCAAATCTAAGATTATTGGAACGATGTCGACTAATGGGACGTCCAATTGACTACGGAAAAATTCTCGAGCCATTGAATGAATTGACGGCGGTTTCCGGTATCATCCAAATCGTCGGCAGTCGGTACCGGTCGCCTCATGTGCCACCGGAGCAAGGGTATGCCAAAAAATCTCCATTTCTGGCCCGGGCCTCTTGTGGACCATATCCAGCTAATCAGTGCTATTCGCTGCTCTTGAGCTTCCCCAAAGATAGCCCTTTCCATCTTGCGCTCAGCCAGCGCAGAGGATTTCGCAGCAATTTCACGACGTCCTTCTTGCCGCTTCGCTCCGCAAACCACAGGGCGGTCCCCAAGGTGCTCCTGTACTAGTGCTGGCCAAATACGAATATGATACGGCAAATGGCATATCATATTCATATTCATATCATATTCACCTCTGAGAGACCGTATCGTATTCGTAGTGTATTGTATTCATATTCTAGAGGATGAATATGAATATATTTTGAATATATCCAAAATATATTTTGAGCACTAACTTAATTGAAAATCTGTGCTCAATTGACCCGTAAAGGGATCCAAGGACCCAAATATAGATGTTCCTATGTATCCGCATCTCTCACGGAAACGTGCAGACCAAGATTTGGACATGGAATCTGTAAATTCGAGTGGTCAGCTGTCATCAACACGTTGGTGTAAGACGGAAGGCTCCGGTTTTCATTTTCTCTCTACCCGTACGATTCGCCGTGGTCGGCCTCGGCTGTACCTCAGTCTTGTATTAGACAGAGGTGTGATTAAATTTGTAAACATTGTAAACATCAAAGATCACCAAATGTTTGATGGTTTCATGCTCGGCAGGTTACCAATGTCTTACCGATGGGCCGGCCCAGGGCAAATAAGATCCGAGTTTCAGGCTCGGCAGTCAAGTTTTATGGTCCGAACTGTGCCGGGCGGTGTTCCGGGTAGTGCTGTTGGCAGAATCCTGCCATTTTGCCCGGCAGAATGGCAGAATGGCAGGCAGAATGGCTTAATCGACTCGAGGATGGCAGAATCTGGCAGAATTTCAACACTTCATGGTCGGTGGCCGGGCTTGAGGCACAAAAATTGTTGTAATTATTGTTTCTGCATTGTGAATATGGTTGGAGACTCACGTCAAAAACTGCAAACAGTAATACAGGCTGAAATACATGCATCAGCATCAACCATCATGCTTGATTTTGGTTAATTGAAGTGTGTCGAGAGTCCCAAAATGGATCGCAGCAGAATTCTGTGGCCGGAAGTGACATTGTAGCATTGAGGAGCATATGTGGAAGGAAAAATCAGAAATTTTCGCTCTAGTTAGGAGGGAATGCCCAAATTGATGTGCCAATTCTGCCAAATTCTGCCGACATTCTGCCGTGCCGTGCCATTCTGCCTGGCGAAATTGACTCAAAACAATTCTGCCCACAGCACTAGTTCCGGGGCGGCAAAGAACCACTTCACCGTAGTTGAATATATTTGAATACGAGCGGCCCCGTATTGTATTACATTCATATCATATCGTATTCATATTTGGGTGTATTCATATTCTCAGTTGACCCTGGAGCCCATATCATATTCATATTCAGTTGAATATACTCAAAATATATTTTATTGTATCGTATTTTTGGCCAGCACTATCCTGTACTCGAGACTCGCGCCGCGGTCCAAGAGCAACTTCACCATATCCAGATGCCCGATCGCACATGCATGGTGCAATGGGCTCGCGCACTGCTCTCGGTACACCCCGAACGGCTCGTCGACGGGCGCACCGTAATCCACTTGGGAGGTGAGGCCGTGGCGATGCCCGGCAAAACTCGTACTTATGTACTTTTGTTTTTTGTTTTAATTCATCTGTAGACAGTAATCTAAAGAAATTTCAAAAAGGAAATTTAAGGCAGAGATTCTACGCTTTGACCAACATTGAAGATTAGTTGTATATGTTTGTTTGATGGCAGTCGCGTTGATAGGTCATGTGACCTCTTTACTTGGTCTTCGAGAACTTGATTTCAGATTTTCTTTCGGACTTCATTGTGATCATTGTCGGCTCATTTTCGATATTTTTTTAATAAGAGCGTAGAGGATTAGTTTTGCACCTTCAATGTGTGGCGGTCGATACTGTCATTTAGTGGAAGCTCTGTCTATCTGCATGGTTCATTTTCCGGGGTTGCGAAGGCTGTGGATTGATCGACCTGTAGGATGGAAGAGCTCATGAATCAGGAGATCATAATGAACTATGGGTATATAAAGCCCACTGTTCGTATAGAGAAGTACCACCTTCCGACATGCAGAACCTTTCAGAGCTGAATGATAAACTCATCGCCTACCCCCACTATCAAGACAAAGTTAGCCAATCATTCCAATACTGCACCTACAGAAATGACGGGACGGTATTACTGTTCGGCCAAACTGTGCGCATCCAGGCAAGAAATCAATTGCTGGACGGCACAGTAAACCCGATTTTTGTGCAACATCATCTACTTATTCTGACCAATAATCAGGAATTGTCTACTGTCTTCCTGAAGACACCAGGGAGAACCCCAATTGACAGTCTATTATATTTGATGCAATGCAAGTCGCTAATATTCAACTGTCACCTAGGATGTATTTGAGTGTTCAGTGCAGTTTCCAGCCCATTGGGTTCAGCCATCCCAACACGGCACGTGGCACGACATTATTGTTGTCCAATATTAGGTGCTGCTTCAAACATCCGAGAGGGGCAATGCTTGTACCTCACCAGGGTCGGTAATTAATATTTCTACTGTCACCTAGGATGTATTGGAATGTTCAGTTCAATTTCCAGCGCATTTGGTCCAGCCATCCCAACACGGCACCCCACAACATGATTGTTGTCCAATATTAGGTGCTGCTTCAAACATCCAAGAGTGCCGATGCTTGTACCTCACTGGGGTCGGTAATTAATATTTCTACCGTCACCTAGGATGTATTGGAAATAATGTTCAGTTCAGTTTCCAGCCCATTTGGTTCAGCCATCCCAACACGGCACCTCGCGAACTATTGTTTAGGTGCTGATTCAAACATCCGAGAGTGCTGATGCAGGTACCTCACCGGAGTCGGGCAACTTGGGATTGAACCAAGTAAACAATTATTCAATGCACAATTTGGGTCTGCTAGAGTTCACGGGCCATCCTCCACATCAGAGTCAATGGCTTCAATCGATAGGGTCCCATCACGGGGCCCTCCAGCGCAGAATTTGTCTTGATGAAAAAGAGAATGTCGGCGTAGATGTGGTAAGTTAAACTCACAGCTGAAGAAGCTTGTATTAGGGTACACTGCATCTGTCTGACTTTTTTTCTTCACCAATCAAACAAAGTTGGAGGGCCCCTTGATGGGACCCTTAGTTCCTGTGGCCCAGAAATATTTGACAATTAATATTGTCATATTAAATGTAAGATCCTAGGGGAATAATAAATTTTGCTCAAAGTAAGTCCATCTTGCTGTGTGAGCTTCATCTCTGAATGGTTGCCAAACATCAGACAAACAAAAGTCGGAGGGCCCCGTCATGGGACCCTTCATCCCTGTGGCCCAGGAATATTTGACAAGCATCACATTGGGAGTGAGATCCTAGCAAAATAATATATTTTGCCCCAAGTGAGCCCATCTTGCTGTGTGAGCTTCATCTCTGGATGGTCACCAAACATCAGACAAACACTGAAACAGAAGTCGGAGAGCCCCGTGATGGGACCCTTTGTCCCTGTGGCCCAGAAATATTTCACAAGCTTCAAAATAAGTGTTATATCCCAGGGGAATAGTCCATGTTGCCCCAAGCAAATCCATCTTGCTGTGTGAGCTTCATCTCTGGATGGTCACCAAACATCGGACAAACAAAAGTCAGAGGGGACCCTCAATCCCTGTGGCCCAGAAGTATTTAACAAGTGTCAAATTAAGTGTAAGAACCCAGGAGAATAGTACATTTTACCTCAAGTGGGCCCATTCTGCTGGATGACCTTCATATCTGGAAGGTTGCCAAATGTCGGACAAACAAAGTTGGAGAGCCCCACACCCTTGGTTTCTGTGGCCCAGAAATATTTGTCAATTATCCCTTTGGGTATAAGAATAATAAATTTGGCCCCAAGGCCAACTGCATGAGATGGAACTGGATTATAAAAAGGTAAAAATTGTGCAATGAACCGACCTCGAACACATGCGAGACAAACACAATCTTATGCAAGCAAATACTGCCACTAAATGAGTCACAAATTTGAAGTCTTTTGTAGGCACCGCCACTATCTAGACTTCAACACAGCCGCTATATTTAATAGCATAGCCACTAATTTCATTAGCAAGGTTAAGTGCGGACAAGATGAACACAGGTGCGAAAAATCTCATTTCGATTGATTAAAAGAACGATTACATAAGTACTCGTAAACAGCAGCTTCATCATCTCCAGATCCATGTTGCACCCCGCCAGATGAAGCGATTGGAGCCCCTTGCCGTTCAATTGCGCCGTGACATTCGCGCCAGCGGCAAGCAGGAGCGCGGTGATTTCCCCGTTCCCGGTGTTGACAGCGACATGCAGCGGTGTTCGGTCATTATAACCTCCATCCAACTCGATGGGATGCGGAGAAGATAAGAGCTTTGCGACGATATCCGGATCCACAGCGGCTGCCTCGAGGAGCAAATATCCAAATATCTTCGATGCTGGCAAATGAATGACCTGGCCTGGATTCGAACCAGGGGCTCCCGCAAGATGTTCAGCTGAACAGATTACACACTGCGGGCGCGATACGTCTCGCCACCAGGTCTTATTCCCGCAGTGACGAAGCTATTTCTCCTCTACTCTCAACTTTTGTTGATGGTTTATTGTGAGCTGAACTACGAGAAATAAATTTCCACCATCACGGCGTGATACGTTTGGCGCTCAAATCTCATTCCAGCAAGGATGTAGTTGGGCTCCTCCCTCTGGGCAATGATCCATGGCGAGCCTTGGAAAATATTTCTCTTCTGACCTGAGCTGGATTTGAACCAAGGCTTCCCGTTGGACCGCAGATATTACACACTGCGGGCGCCATGCCTTGTGCTCTCAGGTTTTGTTCACCCTGATTTGAGCCTCGTCTTGCGCTGTAGTTCCACCCATGACATGCATGACATCTCGCTGTGTCGGAATTTCGAGCCTGTCTATCCAGACTAATATATACTGTCGGTAACGACATCGCCCCGCACACATTCCGCGCCGTCTATTTTAATCGCAGAAGCAACGTTAAAGGAGTCAGCAAAAATAAAGGTGTCTAATTTTACTGTACAGCCTTTCCACTTCTTTCTCTCAGAATCTCGCCGTCTGCAGCTTGTTTCCGATTCTCACCTTGAATTGCCCTGAAGAGCATTAAGGAAGAATTGAGCCGGCGACTACAGCGAGGTACGAGCTCTCAACGGTTGTTTGTTCATAAGAGACTAGAAGATGAATCCTCTCAACTTCGAATTCATATTCGTCAGCTTTGAGGAGTTTATCGGGTGTCTTTCCATCGCGAATATCGGGCTTCTCCTGTTCCTCAATTCGATCGCGACTACGCTGCTTCCTCATCTTTCTGGTTGGTTGCAATTTTCAGGTTCGGACCATTGGTGGTTACTGTGGACATAAGGGGCAATAACGGGCAGCCGTAGAGGGCTACCATTGATTAATTAGCTGCCGGCATGTACAACAGGCGGCGTGTGTACCATTCATTCGAACCTTTTTTTGGTGGAGCGACAAAGCAACGAACAGTCTGATCTAATCAGCCTTCGCTGCACGCTAGATTTTGGGGGCCGTCCCCTTGAGAACTACTTAGTACTTAATCACCCTGGAAAAATGTGCTTACGCACGCCCATTAACAGGCAGTGTGGGACTCGGTAGTCCCGGGGGACGGAGAGCACCTATACCCACTAAAACTCCAGACTGCTGGATCCAGTTTTCTGGCAGATTTTCATTGTCCACGAGGACTCCGTCGCATGTGTGCCACCCAGATACACTGACAGTCATGTCCAATCTTGCTGCGAAATATGTGCAGTTAGGACAGTTCAACCAAGCAAGAGAGTTGCAAACAACCTTCTTGGCCAAGCGCAGAAACAATCTGGGCGAAGATCACCCACATTTATCTCGCTGTGACGTATTCGCGGTTGGGAAAGTTTAATCAGGCGGAGGGATTGGAAACAATGGTCTTGGCACGCAAAAAGATACTCGGTGATGATCATCCAGATAGTCTGAGGGCCATGTCTAACCTCGCTGCGACGTACGCAAGCTTGGGACAGTTTAATCAGGCGGAAACACTCCAACAAATGGCCGTGGAGAAGCGTAAGAAAATACTGGGTGAGATCACCCAGATACACTGACAACCTTGGCCAATCTCGCGGTGACGTACTCCTGGTTGGGACAGTTCAACCGAGCAGAAGAGCTGGAAACAACCGTGTTGACCAAGCAACAAGAAATCCTGGGGGAGGACCACCCAAGGACTCTGAGAACTATGGCCAATCTCGCTGCAACGTACTCAAAACTAGGGCAGTTTAACCAAGCTGAAAGACTCCAACGGACGGTCTGCGACAAACATAGTAAAATCCTGGGCAAGGACTACTCAGATACCCTGAATGCCGTGACCAATCTAGCGACATATTCAGTGAAGATGAGAGCATCGAAAGATCCAGGTGAATCAGGAACTTGACGAACTTCCCGTACGTCGTCGAAAACACCGGGGATCTTCTTTTTGACTAATCAAGCCTTTTGGTCCCCAAGGAACTTATGGGAAGAGGTGATGTATATATATATATATTAGCACAATATTCCTTTACGACTACTTCAAAGAAGATGAAATACTGAGTAAGCATTCATCAAGGCCGACGCCATCACCGGCATCGTGCCCGATCGCACTTGCCGCCTGTGCCCGCGGTTGAACCCGGTTTGGAATGCAATTGTTGAAATTCGGGCCTTGATTTTCTTTCCTTATAGCCTTTGAATCCTGTGCAACCACCAATCCACCCGTCGCTGAAGGACAGTTAATGTCCACCAGCTCGGATGTTCCGCCCGAACTATGGGCGGTGGTTGCAAAGTCTTGTCGCCGACAAACACTCGCGGAGCTGTGCGTCTCGCAAAAATTCCACGCCGTCTTTTCCTCGCTGCGTTACGGAACGACAACCGATCCGCCTCTAAGCAATGCTCAGGCCATCCTCCTCGTCGAGATGCTTCTGGCGACGCGCACGCGAAACCCGGCGCATTTATCCAACATTTACCGTCATGTATGAGCGGTCGGATTGGCACGCAGACATGCCTCGCCGCGCTGGAGTGCTTGTTTGACGCGCCGGGGGACGATAAACCTGTGCGGGGCGCGGCGCCGCGCGCGCTGGAGTGGGGCATGGTTCGAGATGGAACGGACGGTCTCGGGGCCCTCCTTTGCACGTCCAGGTGTTTTCCGGATCTAAAGGAAATCGTGATTGAGTGCTCGCCATCATACACGCGCTTCGAGGTGCGCGGGTTTCGTGAACCGAGATGCTCCCTCACAGACTGAGACATGTTACCTAGTTTCTCCGCATTCCTCACCTCGAGAAGATCGAGGTGGATTTAGCGGTCCACGGTGAGTGATCAAATTGATTCTAGTGTCTAGAGATTCAATCGCACACAGGACACGAGACATAGCGCCCGTCGTTGGACGCTTTGAGTGCGGAACTGTCAGCCCTGCCATCATTATCGCCACTCCTGCACACACTCAAATTGAAGCTCGCCTTGTGCGTGCCTCGGACTACCGATCACCCGCCGTAGGACGTATACTCTGACCTGCACGCCGCGATAAACGGGCTGCACCTCTCCGCGCTCGCTCTCGAGCTATCCTTCGCCGCTCCAGACTTCGAGCCCCCCATGTCTATCGCGGACTTTTCGGCCGTCCTATACCAGCATCCGGGCCTCATAGACTTGACGCTGCACGCAGAGGGGATGCGCATCCTCGCGCCGGCAGAGGCCGCGCTATTCCTGCCTCGCTTGGGCACCTTCACGGGGTCTCTTGGCCACTTCGCGGCCATCGCTGCCCCGCAAGCTCGCCCGTCTGTTCATGCCGTTCCCCCAAGATTGTGAGGTTGAATCCCTGGTGACGCTGTTTCTGCCCGGCTCGGGGCCTACGGTGACACAGTTGAACGTGCGCTCAGTAGACGAGGACGGGCACCCCGCGGTATTTCCCTCCCAGCTCTCTCCGCGCGCCCTGAGCTGCATAGTGGCGGCGTTTCCGAACTCCACATACTTGGACGTCACCATCGGGCGGCAGATGGTTCGTCGTAACCGCATTCATGTGCAATTGATTTCTGACGGCGCGATTAGGAGGACTACACCACGAGCCTGGTAGCCCTTCCGCGGCTGGAGTATCTGTCTTCGGGGGCATATGTATGTGGAGGACCGCGCGCTGGACGAGGCTCCGAACGACGTTTTCCCTGTGTCAGCGTAGAGCTCCTCCCTGCTCTGGCGCAGTTGACGGACGCGTGCGGCTTGTGCTCCGGGCATGTCCGCACCCGAACGAGGGCGGGTGTGAATCGTGCAACAAAGCCAGACGGGAAGCCAACCATCTGTTCGCGGATTGTCGGTTCTGGGTGCGGCAGAGGGAGGAAGAGAGAGAAGTTGTGTTGTTGGAGGATGACGCGTGATATAATACGAACTTTATTACGGCAATTCTTAAATTGAAGCGTCTGGGTGATTGCGTACGCGTGGGGATCTCTTCAGTTGGAGACTGGAGAGGGATTCCCGTATACTTCTCCAAGCTTCCCAAACCGAACATTACACCCAAACGTCGAACGCGTCGAACCCCATCATGCCTACGAGATGGCGTGCAAGAGTGTAGAACAAAACCTTTTGCAAGCCGGGCACCATGGCAAGCAGCCGAGCCTCCAGCTCCGCACGATCGGGGACATCCGCGCCACCGAGGCGCCAGCGAAAAGCGACGGTACCCAGCGAGGGGGGAATGCGCAGCGCGTCCGCCAAGCTCGCGGCCAGCGTCTTAGTCTGGCGAGGAAAATGAGAACGGAAAAAATCAGAAATAGAGGGTGGGGAACACCTCTGGGAGCGTCATGTCCTCGTCGGACGAGTAGAGCGCTAAGTGTGTGAGGCGCGGACACAGCACGAGCAGCTCCTGCAGTACCGCGTGGTCTGCATGCAGCGCGAGAGGCATCTCCAGGCTGGTTAGCTGCGCTGCACTCCGGGGGCGGCCCTGCAGCGCGTCGCGCACGTCCGCAGTCCGCCCGCTCGTGAGTGCCAGCCGCAGAGGCTGTGCACCGGCCAGCACGAGCGGGAGCAGTTTCGCTGGTCCGCGGTACTCCTGGAGCAGCGGCGCCATCGGCGTCCGCGGGAACATGCCCGCGCGGAACATGCCCACGATCTCAATGTGTAGTGTGCGCAGCGCGGGGAACGGCGCCACGGTCGCGTGGAGGCGCGCGAAATCCGTGTGGGCGAAAGAAAGGCGCAGCGTGTGCAGGGAAAGGCACGCGCGCATCACCTGCGCGTCTTGGACGAAGTCGGTTAGGTTGAGAAAGCGCCTGAGGGCCTCCGGAGGCTGGGCGATTTGGAGTTTCTGCAAATGCTGCAGCGCCTCGATTCGCAGTGTGGGGAGCTCGAGCGGGGTGGCGGGGCAGTTGAACGTCAGGAAGCGGAGATTTGTGAACGTCGCCACAGCGGCGAAGAGTACCGTGACGAGTGGGCCCGGGGGATTCGTGGGGACGCGATAAAGGGCGATGATACATGTCCGCACGAGCGGCGCGATGGGCACCGAGGACCAGAACGCCAGGCGCGCGAGTTCGTGCTCCA